CAGGAACACCAACATGTGGCAGGGAGCGAAATAGAGATTTTTGGAGTTCACTTAAGTCAACAAAATTAATTAAGCATTGAAATTTTAGCTGGTAGAGTTATGTGTTGAATTTCAACCTTTTACTTAAGAAACCTCTGCCATGGTACAAAGGGCACAGGAAGATGTAAATTTCTAAGAGCTTCTTGCATACAGAACAATGCCTAGGGATGCAAAGAACCCAGATAAAGAGACTCCTCTATCTCCAAGCCTATCAAGACTGGCAGAGTACTCAGATAAGCACCAAAAGTGCACAAAGAGGAAAAGTTCAAAAGTTCAATCTTCTGTTAAGTGGGCAGTTTTCCTTATCTCTTCCACAACCAATTCTCCCTCTGGGGAGACATCTGCTGATAATGGGCTATTGAATGCCACTGCATGACTGATAAGAACTGGAACATCCCATTGTGAGATGCTCTGCCCAGAGGGAGGAGCCAAGCATTCCTACCTGGATATAATCTGGGTTTTTGGGACACCAGACTCAGGCTTTTCTGCTCTATTTCCAGGACTGATTGGTTAAGTAATAAAAACATCTTTCTCGCACATTGTCCTTGAGAGGAACAGAAAAGCAAGGTGGAAAAACACCCCCTGCAGATTGTTTATAATAATAACAACAAGTTACTCACATTCCAACAACTCCCTAAAAATCCTCACAAGCCACTGGTAGAAATGATTGCTGTTTTTGTCTCCCTGACCCGGCTGGCATCCACACCTTGTCAAACCAGGACATTGTGATAAATGTGAGTCCTGTCTGGACAAAGCACTCTAGCTGCCCAAACTCATCTTCTTGATTTATAAGAGAGGAAAACAACAGGAAATTAAGAGCCACAAACCAGTATGATTTCATGAATAAGATAATCAAAATAGGGATATTTCATCTGTAATATCACAGATGTCTTCTTGACAACCAGTGTTTTAGCAATTACATTGCCTCATGCAAATATTTTTTGTCATAAGCATTTTCCACTTTTAGGGGAAGATTAATTTATCTGGATTTAGAGAGGGAACAGTAACTTCTGTCAGTGGCTGATTAGTGTGTGTACAAAGGAAGCACTGGGTGGGGATTCACAAGTCTTTGGGAAACAATGATGTTCCAGTCTCAAAGGTAATTAAGCACCAAGAACCCAAATGCCAAGATTCAAATGAGAACTCCTTAAACCATGACGAAGCTTTTCCATATGCGAAAATTGATCCCAAACCATCAGATGCTCTCTAAAATATTGACTGTTACCAGCACATTAATTGCCTATCGATTTCTCCAGTTACAAAGACAAAAAGGCCCCACGTAGGATTTGAATAACAAAAGATAATTTGTTCAGCAGTTCATTTTCAGCTTTTCAATCAATCTTAATAAGTCTGGATCTAAAGTGCATTTCTAAACCTGCACTTTAAAAGGTGGTTGTGTCTGTATAAAATATTTTCAGCATATGTGAATAGCACAAGGATGTTTTGTGTCTTCTTGTACTCACTCATCAGGACATAAAATAACAGCATCCGAGTTTGCTGCAGTGCTACAGTCAGGTTAAAAGCCCACCAAACTGAGCCCAGGTCACCGCTGCATTATGTCACTCATTCCAATTACATGAATTGAATGTCTGAGAGCCCCTAAATCTAAAATTTATAGCAATTTGGAGGGAGGGGGTTTGCATTTTCCATTTCAGAGAAGACTCCTGCCTTCCTTAGCAGACACCTATCTTTCCAAACCAAGACAACAATATAGCAACATGTAAAGAAGACAACTGAGTAAGGAATGCACAGTTCAAGGAGTCCAGGCTATATTTTATATACACAAGGGCAGAAGAAAAAAACCCCAAACCCTATCGATGACAAATCAGATGCTGTTAAAGCCTCCTTGGACAATTCTATTTCGATCAGAAAAGAGGAGATGAAAAATTACTCTCAGTGGGGAAACAAAGGACAAACATAATCTAAACATTAAAACAGGGTTGATGAAAATCTCCCTTCCTTTGTCCTTCTACGAGCTAGGCTTTATGACTCAGAAAAATGGGCACACACCACATGATAAATTTCATAACAGCTTAGAGAAAAACCAAGGCTGCAGCCTGAAGGGAGCTTTGTTCCGTTATCAAGAGTTGCAAAATCACCTTTTATCATTATTGGCATGCAAATGTAACCTCCCCTCCAAATAATACTCCCCTCCAGACTTCTACAGTGCAGGCACATTTAATCCCTATTTAAAAACCAGAAAAATTTGTAGCTGGGGAATAGCTCTAGGACTTGCAGCATGGAAGACTAGCAGAAAACAGAGCTGTTCTTCAAAGGCCAGGCACACATTAACCTTGGGATGAAGTTTAGCAGTGTTGGGGGGGAGTTTTAATTCCCACCAAAGCCCTTTCCACACCAGTGCACTGCCAGTGCAGGTGTTGGACAGCGAGCCCATTAACAGGATCCCATGGAAGGCAGGACAAAAAAAAAAGCAGCTGGATGGTGGATCCTTGTCCAGCAGCTTGTAGGAACTATGACAAGATCCCACTCCATGTTCAAGTCAAGAGCACTTACTTACCACAAATCTACTCTGAAGACTCTTAATAAGGACACAGACAATAATGGAAGATCTTTCCTGAAACAGTAAGTAAAGTAGATTGCAAAACATCTCATGCTTAAACACACAGATTCAATGCGTTAGTTAATGTACTGCAATGAAACCTCAGTATCCACATGTTTAAAAGTGCAGTCCTTTCTAATGCTTGCTTTTACATTAGCATTTGATTTTCTTTTTCCAGGCAATTGATACCATTTACATTTTCCAAGGACTTACAAAGGGGAAAAGAAATAAAATAAATATAAACCCCTACAATTAGCACTGAAATAATGATGTAATTGTGTACTAAGAAAGTGCAAAAGAGTACTAGAATTGTAAAGTGCTAAACAAAATTATGGCTCAGGCTTCTCCAGGAAATAGAATTGGCTGGACTTCAATTCACACTGAATTCCCATGGCTTAGAATGAGAAATAAAATCTACCATATCTCTCTCCTCGTACCAGCTTAAGGAGCAAAGTCACCATCAAAGGGTTCAGCAGAGGAAAGCAAAAGCGAATCACGCAGAAGAAATCCACCAAAACCTAAATCAAAACAAGCCCATCCACCCCAGCCCCTGCCAAACAAAAGTGGAAAGACATCCTGTAGCACACAACAGTTCCCCAAAACAAATCAACATTAAATGAATTATTTTCCCCCATTTTTAGAGGCAAAATGCATTTCCTTTGCAGGAAAACTTTATTTTCCGTAGAACCAGAGGTTCCTCCTCAGTCCTGTGCTCCACTGGAATGGGACTCAAGAGATCTTCGTGCCAACTGTGAAGGAGCACCCTGGAGAAAAGTGACCCAAGTGGTTAAAGAGTAGGGAAGTCCAAACTTCTACAAAGAGCTGTTCCAGCAACAAAGCTGGAGGTATTTGGCACTTTCCACTGCCGGATGAGGGAGTACCCGAGGCTGCAAAGCCTCTTTGAAGGCTGTTAGTTAGGAACACGTCTCCAGGAGCTTGGTGCTGACACCTCAGAGCTGGTGGCCGAAAGGCGAAGAACAAAGAGCATAGGGCAGGATCAATGGCACGCTGGCAGGAGGTGGCAGGATCCTGCTGTGCTTTGTGCCCAGCAGCAAACAGCGCTGCTCTCCCTGCAGGAACCGAGGGCACCCGAGCACCAAAGGAAGGCTGGGAGCTCCTCAGAGCACCGAGGCTTTTGGAACAGCCTCTGGCATTCTCAAACACAGCCAGACACAGTGAAAAGCCTCTGTGGGTATTAAATAATCTGCTAAGAAGCTGTGCCAGCTTTGATGTTCAGGCAACCTTCCCCTGGTTTTGTTAAGTGGTTGAAAAGCAGGTAGCAATAGCAGGAAAAAGAGCAGTGAAGCCTAAAAAATGCTGCACAAATCCAAACAGGAGAACAGAACTGAATATTTACTTCTATTTAATTCAACTCAGTAAATCCCAGGGATGAAGCAAAATATAGGAGAGACTTTAGGATTTTGTATTAGTTTTGATTTTTTCCTCATCTCATTTATACCAACATCACTGCTTATAATGCACAGATTACTTTCCACACCTGACCACAACCAGAAATACTCAGAATGTGAATTTAGGAGAGGTAACTACTTGCTTGGCCATAATTTAATAATCAATTCAGGCTTTCAAGATGACCTGTACTTTTTCAGAATTAAAACCCTGCTTTTAAGGAAGTTCTCCATGCAGAAGCATCAGACTACCAGGGATGAAATCAAAAATGTGCAGAGAAAGAAGCAGAGAGAATTATCACCTTCACTGTGGTGTATTACAAAATGTGGTTATTGGCTACAGCTTAGTGTTTTTCATATCCACTCAGTAATTTCCTCTATTTCTAACAGTGTTGTGTCTCAGCACCCCACAAGCCTGTTCAGGTGCCTTATGAAAAAGTTTAATATGTTTTGATTAATTTTGACTTTCCATTATTAAGATAATAATCTTTTACAGAAAATATGACCAGAGTATAACAGAAGCAGCTCTTCTTTTAGTATGAGAGGCCAAAGACCACTGTTCTAAATTAAGATTCCTGAATTCCTAAAATTTAAGAACACAGACAATAAAATGATACAGTTGAAAAAAAAAAAAAAGGGACATACACAAAAAAAAAAAGAACTGAATGTTTGTTTTATTTGATGTATCTAAGCCTAAGATTTCTCAGAACACTGCCTGAGATTCCTAAATGGGAGAACGCAGATGGGAGTCTCAAATGGCTGGTTCCTGGCCAGTTTATTCAGTTACTTAGCTGCTGCCAGCATTTAAGTATGGTAAATTAATTATATTAATGAGAAAATCATTTCAGTCATTAATTGAAGTTCTTTCATGCTCCTCCTCCCTAAAATTGCTGAGCTGTGCCTCCCTCTGAGGAGAAAAATCCACACAAAACCACAGTAGGAAAGAAGTTTTAAGGCACGACTGAAATTTGCCATCATATAAAAACAGATAAACATGGGAGCACCTGATTTTATTTTAGAACTTTTGATTAGTGAAAATTGAGAGTGACTTCAGTACACTTCATAAAATAAGCCAACATCTCCTGCAGAGCCTGAATTTCAGTCATTTCTACTAGACAGCATTCTCTTCATTCCATAGTATGCCAAACAAGAGCCAGGTTTCCAGTTCAACTCCCACCATGATTACAATTTTCATGCTTTGTTGTAAAACTTCAGAGACACCTCAAAGGTGAAGAAACAAACAAAACAATCTTTCCAAAGCAGCAGTCCAGAACAAATCCCCATGCTGTGCCCTTCCATATTAACAACAAAAACAAGCCCAAATCACAGAAATGCATTCAAATCAAACTGCTATTTTAACTTTGTTCTCCTTCCAGCACAGTTCACAGCAGTTGTGGCTTCTACCACTTGACTGGGCTTTGTCCCCGTGACTGTTCTGTCTTCACATAAGTGTCATACAGTTCCCTCAGGTGCAACAGCAGCTCCTCCAAGTTGTCTCCTGTCAGGGCAGACAAGGCGATAACCCTCTCAGCTACCTGCTCCCTAAGGAGTGGCAGATTGATCCTGGACTCAGCAAGGTCAATCTTATTGCCAACCACAACACAAGGCCTCTCAGACAAGCCTTTTTCATACGCTTCCAGTTCATATTTCAAGTCTTGCAGCTGGATCCAGGGCTGAGGCACAGAAAGATCCACCACGTACAAGAGGAAGCGGCAGCGCTCGATGTGCTTCAGGAAGGCCATCCCCAGCCCACGGTTCTGATGAGCACCTTTGATTAGGCCAGGAATGTCAGCAACTGCAAGAGAAATTTCACAGTGAATCCAGCAGACCCAATAAAACCCCCCCAAAAATCCCCCCAGTCTTTTACTGGCCAGTGTCAGTGCTTTTAAATTATGTCTCAGTGCCTCAATATTAAAGCACAACTCACGCTAAGTTTGCTGCTGTTATCTTTTAAAACACCTAAATCTGGATTACTCCAGTGCAGACAGAATACAGATTGACAGCTTGGCACTAAGGGTACCTACAAGTGAAGGTGAAATGGGCTTTCAGTAGAGTTTTCTTTTAAGTTCTTTAGAACTAGCAAGAACACTACAGAACTGAATCTATTTCTGCAACATGTTAAAGCATTTACAAAAGTGACACAAACTGCTATCAAGGCACACAAAACAAACTTCAATTCTCACCTGCCACTTGTTCATAGTCTTGATAGTGGACAATGCCAACGTGGGGGTTTAGGGTTGTGAATGGGTAGGCAGCCACAGCTGGCTTTGCCCGGGAGATGGCTCTCAAAAGTGAGGATTTGCCAGCATTGGGAAAGCCCACCTGGAATACAAACACACACATTTCTCAATCTTTAACAAATCTGCAAAATTCTGCTAGACCAGACAGTTATTCTGCAGTTGTTGGACTACATCAAGAACATTTTGCAGCAAAGCATAACTTTCACAAGTTTGCCAGCTGGTGTTAGAATATTTCCATACTCAAATACAAAAATAGCTTAAGCTCAAAGTTGACTGAGCATTTTTCATTTCAGAGGATGATAAACCTGCCACTAACAAAGTCAAATGTTTAAGATCTGTAAAAAGAGAAATACAGGGATGACACAGATGATTTGAAGTTTATAATTTAGGGGAAAAAAACCCAAAACCAAGAAAGCAAACCAATTTAAAAGAATTCTCTATGCTGTAGTGCTCATCTGCAGAACCAGCAGACAAAGCTGCTGTACATCAACAGCAACCACTGATGAATCTTGTTTCTCTATGTATAGTATGGACTTTAGCACAAGTAGGACAACACCGAGTAGCATCAGAGTGACAGCTCTGTGAATCACTTTGGACACCCTTCTACCAAGTAACAATGAGAAAGCATTGAGCATCTCAAAACAAGCAAGCCAGGGGCTAAGAAAATGTTATCTCACATTATTTCTTCAGTCAGTCAATGGGAAGCTGAACCAACAGAAACTCACCAATCCTGCATGAGCTGTTGTCTTGAGCTCCAGCTGAAGGACCCTCTCCTGACCTGGCTCTCCTGGAGTAAATAATTTTGGAGCGCGGTTTTCATTGGAGAGAAAGAAGCGATTCCCTTTGCCCCCAGCTCCTCCATAAGCTGCAATGTACTCTTCTCCATGCTGGGTGAGGTCAGCCACAACTTCACCATCCTCCTTCACCAAAGTACCAACAGGGACCTCAAAGGGAAGAGGTGCAAGCATTACACTGAAGCTCAAAGCCTGCAGCAGATCCTCTACCAGCTGATTTCAGATTTTCTGAAAATCACTCCTGCATATTCTCAAGGTGAGAAGCCCAAAAAGAGAATTATCTTTCATGAAACTCACGTTCTGAACTCAAACAGCACCGTCAGACATTTACCCTCCATTACACATGAGATTTGCATACAATAAGGTTCTCCAGCTTGAAAATCAGCCACGTACCAAGCTACCACACAGCAGGCAACACCCACTGACTTACTTTAACATACAAGTGTGCACCGTTAGCTCCATAACAGTTTTTGCTTCCTCCTCTCTCTCCGTGAAAACCCCGATAGAAGCGGAACACTGAAGAAAGTGATTTCATTTGCTGGTCAGCTGAAAAGCAAAAGACACACATTTTGAACACATTGCTTTAGTAAAACAGGCACAGAAAAGCCAACTCTTGACTGTTCTTCCCCTTTTTGAATATTTATTGTCCCTATTTTTTATTTACTGTCTCAACAATAACATATCAGGGAAGACTAACATCAGTCTAAGTCGTGATGAAGTTTCACTGTACTTGGATACTTAGGTTTATTAATGTGGTCATTCCAAACCAAAATTAATTTGCTAGATCAGATTTTACAGCAGGGTGGTGGTAGAAGCAGCTTTATTCATCTTAAGAAGAAAATTTATCAGATCTTAACATAACACGGTCAGGCACCACTCACTGAAGTATCTACAAAATACCTTGATTTTCAAAATCCTTTCTAAAGCTGTCAGTGTTTATTTATGTTTATTTATGTCCTCCTTACCACAGCTCAGGACAAAACTTCAAAAAGTGAAGACATCTGATACAGAAATAACCATTTTAACCTTTTTGCCATTTACTATTTCTTACCATCTGTGCAGGACTGTTTTTGCTGGGGTGGGGTGTTAAGCAAGAAGACAACAACACAAAACAGAACAGATTCAGCGAGGCTTACCTTTAAAAATGACATGACCCCCATCACCTCCATTTCCACCATCAGGACCTCCAAACACTTTTCTGGGCTCACTGTGGAAGGAATGGCCCCCGTCTCCTCCTTGTCCTCCAACCACACGCACTTTCCGCTGATCCACGAAATAACGTGTCTGCAACAAGAGTGGGGGTTGCTCCCTTTAAATACAATTTATCAGACTCATCTTACAAGAAGTTTTAGTTAACAGCCAGAGTTGCTATTTTTAGCCATGATGAATTCCATTTAACAGCAAAAAAAAAAAAAAAAATCAGAACTCTGAATCAGAATTCTGCTGCCATTCACAGATCAACTAAATGCAGTGTACTGAGTGTAATAACAAAAAAAAAAAAAAATAGAGCTCAACTTTCAAGTGTTTTTTAAGAACTTTTTTAAAAGCAAATGCCTAAGGCTATTTTGATATAACTTTATCTATCTCCAGAAAAGGAGATGAAATTCCCAAGGGAAAACATTAGGGAAGCACATTCATTGACAGGTGGAATTGTTTACAGAGGCATGAAAAGAGAAAGCATGATTGAGATCACGGTAACTTTCAATTTCTGTCAGTTATCAAGGGACTTCATAATGAGAATGGGCTTTAAGAGTCACTTTAAATAAACGGCACAAATAGTACGTGAGGGAGAAAAAGTCTTCTTAGTGTTATGATACCAAAGATAAGCAACTGAAAAAAAGAAAACCTCTCAAATGAACTTTTGATAATCAAATTTATACTACTACTAAAAAGCCTCTTTTAGAAAGTATTTGGCACCACCACACGGCGAAAGAGTAAACTATGACTTTTAATGGGAAGTGATTTATGGATCATTAGGAAATAAAATTTTCCAGAGACGTGTAAGTAGTAACATAAGATGAAGAATAAATTCTAGGACCCCGAAGTTCCTCTGACATCAAGTGATGCTTGTCTGGCAGCTGACTACACCGCAAGACTACAAAAACAGTGAGAAACCAAACAATATTTCAGATTTAAAGCTAAACCACCATTTTAGAGCTTTAGCTTTAAAAACCTTTTTGCTTTCTAGACTTATGGATGCTTCCAGCCCAGAGAGGCCAACGGGGAAGTGGGCCGCTATAACGATCACTGTGAACACCGAGAATATCGCAGGGCAGACTCATTTCCTCACTACTCTGGAATATTTTATATTTTAGCCAGCGTTTCCTCGGTGCAGAAGCGCCAAGAAGGGCGGGAGCCGTGTCGGAGGTACGGCAGCACTCACCAGCTGCCGCTCGGAAATGGCTCTCTTCTGCCTCAGCCGCCTGTCCTTGGCGCGCCGGGCGCAGCTGGTGGAGAACGCCGGGCTGAGCAGGAGCACGGCCGGCTGCCAGGGGCTGCGGCTGCTCCCCGCGGCCCCGCAGCGCCTCAGCACGGCCCCGGCAGCGGCCGGGAGCGCCGAGCAGCCCAGCCCGGCCGCACACAGCCCCGCCATGGAGAGACGGGCACGGGAACGGAACCACGGCCCCGCCTCGGCTCCCTCGGCGCAGCCGCTGCGGAGAAGCCGCGCCCCGGCAGCCCCGGCCCGCCTCAGCCCGGCCCCAGTGCCCGCAGAGCCGCCTCAGCCCCGCTTCAGCCCGGCCCCTGTGTCCCCAGAGCGGTGCCGGTGACGGCGGAGGGAGCTCGCGTGTCACAGAATCCAGAATGGCTTGGGTTGGAAGGCGGCTTAAAGATCATCTCGTTCCCCCATCCATTATCCCAGCTTGCACCAAGCCCCGTCCAGCCCGGCCCTCTGTCCCCAGAGCGGCTGAGACAGCCCGCGAGTCACAGAATCCACGGTTGGAAGATTGGGTTGGAAGCCTTAAAGATCATCTCGTCCCCCTTCCACCATCCCAGCTTGCGCCAAACCCCGTCCAGCCCAGCCTTGAGCGCTAACGGGGCTGGAGCAGCCACAGCTCTCTGCGCACCCCGTGCCAGGGATGCCGCCCCTCCCAGCACCGAGCATCCTCCTAATCCCCATCTAACCCTGCCCTCTGCCAGCTTGAAACATTCCCCCTTGTCTTGCACTCCAGGCCTTTGTAAACAGTCTCTTTCCGTCTTTCCTACAGCTCCCTTCAGGCACGGGAAAGCTGCAATTAAGGCACACCAGAGTTCCCCTAAGCACTCTGAACAATCCCGATTCTCTCAGCCTTTCCTCATGGCAGGGCTGCTCCATCCCTCGATCGGCTTGGTCCTTTGGACCCTCTCCATCAGGTCTGAGAGGCACAATTCTCCTTCCGCGATGCCACGCCGGGATCAGCCCAGCACTCCGGGGATTTCTGGTCAGCTGTCACCCACCAGCACCCCCAAGGAAAGGGTAACCTGTGCTACCCATTCCATCTGCCACAAGAAATGTACCACCAAATCCACTTTCAGATAATATTTAAACTAAACAATTTTCAAGCATTCTGTATTACAAAACAGAAAATGATACAATTCATGGAAGAAGTCAAAATGCTGGCATCACTTTGTTTCCACATTAATACATAAAAATGGACGACACATTAAATAAACGTTTTGTTATTAACAATTAGAAATATTAACACCAAAAATCATGTATAAATTAGGAAATAAATGTACAAACTATTTTCAAAGTGCTCTTTCAAATACATTATATACACAACATTCACGAAGTTCTTAATGTAAGACATTTCAGATTGATGTAATGTTGCTGTTTCGGTTTAAGTGTTGCTCATATTCTCTCAAAAGCATTTCAGCACTTTCAAAAACCACATAAATGGCGTATTCCCAAACTGGCAAAGAACAATATTGCATTCTTCTGGCTACCTGTAATAGTAATTATTATAAAGAAAACAATCTTCCTTTCTGTTCCTTTCTATTTGAGAGTACTTATTTGTATGAAAACACCAGCAGGAAAGATGAGAGAAATGAGGACTGACTGAAAAAAAAGTCTTCTATTTTACCAGTAGTTGAAATTATTAACATAGGAAGAATAGTGCTTGGACAACATTTAATAGTAAACCTCCTAGTTGTCCAGTTAAAGATTTTCTTCTAAAGTAAAAAAAAAAAAAAAAAGCAATGCATTGAAAGATGTTGTGTATTCCTTGTGGTCTTTGTTTTTCAAAATATAAAGTACTCAAAATCCCATAAATAACACCAGTCAGACAAAGAGAAGGAGAAAATCCTACACAGTGTATCTACTTTTGTAAATTTGCAGTTAATCTCATATCAAAAAAATGTTTGTGGGCTACACAGCCACCCCAGGTTTTTGCTTCGGAGAAATTTGGACACAGTATTTTGTTCAAAACTTATATAAGTACTTAAAAGCGCTTTTTTTTTCACACCCCCCCCCCAAGACTTTATAAGAACATATAAAACTGAATAGAAGCGACTTACATTGTTCATACTGATTTTTACATACCACTAGTTTTTCCTCTCTAAATTCTCCCTCTATAGGTATTCTTTCACTGGTTGACCCCTTTAATAGCTCCCCTCTCTATATGCATAATAGTGTCTCACAATTAAAGCTGAATTTAATTGCTTTTCTGCAATAAAGATGCTTTTTTTTTTCTTTTACTTCTGAACTATTTTTCTGTCAAGCTACAATAGGAAAATAAAAGTGATGATGACGTGTAAGAACAACAGACCACCAAATTGGACAATATTTATGGTTATAATGCTTGCTGGGGAATCTGAGCAAGGGCAGCACAAGAATCAGAATAAAGAAGGATGCCAGCCACCTGCTTGCAAAATTTGGCACAAAAATGTTTATGCAAATTATAAAATTTGGAGTAGGATATTCAAGACGGGACTTCTGCCAGATGTTTTTCTCAGCTAAGCATGATATGAAGCAATATTGATGTCAAGCAGGCTGACACTGTAGGTCTCACAGCTCCCTTCTGTTTTTCTTTCCACAACAGAAATACCTTTGTTTACATGGACATATAAAAGGTGCTTCTATTTATTAACATTTCTATGATCATAGGTTTGGATCCTCTTTCTGTACCTTTCACAACAGAAATATAGACTTATGCAGATTACTGAATTATAGGATTTGGGTAGGTAGGTAGGTATTACAGAAGTTGCAGATATTTTTTGTCATATAGCATAGAACTGATATTTTATAAGTTATATATCCATCCCCTTGTTCTGTAGAAGTAAGCTGAAGAGCCACGGATTTTGGAGGCTGGCAGGTAATCTTCAGTGCATCCAGTTAAAAAAAGATCAATAACTTACCACAGGGAACTTCCCTGCACTGAAATGTGACTGATGGGCTTTGCATTGGGCCAGACTGCAGAGCAACCTGGCTGTTCTCCAGAACGGGGCACAGCTGTGATCTAATGATCCTAAAGCTATTCAGAAACACCGAGAATGGGACAAGAGGGGGTAAATGGAAAACTTCTGCGTTGTATCAACATACAGTACTATACACAGCACCAAATATCAAACCATTAAAGCATTGTCTTGTTACCAGTAGTGCACTGCTTCATATCCAGCATGAAATGAACACTGTTCACATACAGACGCTGCTTTGTGCTAAGGGGTAACCAACATATTACAATTAATCAAAACTGCCTGTACATCCAGTTCAAAAGATTGAGATACTATGGAAAGGAATCTGACACAGCACTGTATTCTTTTATTGCTGGTAATTTCCATATTGTCCCTGTTAAAAAAAAAAAAAAAAAAAGAAATAGAAATGTTAAAGGATAATATATTAGAGGCTTACTGCGAGTGAGGCAATTTCTTTCAGTCTGAATTTTACAAGACCTAGTGAAGTATCACCCATATACCTGCACCAAATTATTATATAGATTTATAGACAGAGCTAACAGCCAGATCTGCTCTTTCAGATTTAGACAATTTACCTGCTCATAGCCATAAGGCCTCTGTTGCTGAGCGGATGGGCCTGTCTGGGAAGCTCTGTAACTTCCATATTGCTGCCCCTGTCCCTGCTGGTAGCTGGAATACTGTGAGGAGGCTCCTTGTGCAGGACCTGAGAAGACAGTAAAATCCATTACAGGCAGTAAAATCCATTATAGGCTTGCTTTGGTGGGGTTTTTAAGAGTTAACACGATCTAAAACATGATGCTAACAAAGTAAGGTCTGTGAGTACAAATTGTGAGTAAACTCTGTCCAGACCTCCCCCTCTCGGTTTGCACTAGGAGGTGTTAGTACCAATAATGATGTAGTTGCAGCAGTTAAAATTCAGGTTTTAAACTTAGCTCAGAAAATGTTACAATTCTAAGTGAAGCCTCTCTGAAACCTGTATTGGCACACTTCTGTGCAAACTACCTGGCCTATATTTTAGTAACAACTGCGTGTTTAAATTCCTATCTAATCCAGCTGTGCCACTATAAGCAACAGAGGAGTGATTCTCTGGACTGTTGATGTTCTTTTTCATGTCAGTTTAGAAGGACTAGGTGTGTAGGAGGCCTGGGAACCCAGGCAGTGACCTCCTGATGATGTTTAACATAAAGTCAACATGAAGACAATGTGTATTTTCTAACTTCTATCAAAAGAGAGAGGGATTCGGGATGGAATGCAGTGCTATTCTTACATATGTTACTGCCCAGAATCCCTTTACTAGATCTTTGACTAATTTTGGTACTTGTTAATCCAAGGTTAATCAAGGAAATAGTTCACAGCCTATTTTAGCTTAGGATTGGAGGCATCAGGGTGAAACACTGCAAACACTTGACCAGCCACTGAGAGTTTTCTTACCATATCCTTGCTGTTGTCCTGGGTAACTCTGTTGATTTGGGTATTGCTGCTGGGAATATGTTTGCTGTTGTGCAGCTCCCTGTTGGTATCCTGCCTGCTGCTGGCTGTACTGAGAATTTCCTGGAGGGGGAAATATTGGAATTGTTTGGTCATAGATGAGGCAGGTATTTCACTTACATGTGGATCATAAGGAAAACAAAGGCGTAAGGAGCCTTGGTCTAGAACTCATACACAAATACTTTTCTTAGAAACAGATGATTGGATTTCGCCAAGCAAGATGTTTATTTCTCCAGTGATTTTTAGTTCTTTAGGAGAGTTACATATTTATACACATCACTAAAGAAACAACCTGTTCCTCAAAGTAATTTTTTTATTCCAGAAGGGCTTCAAAAGAAAAAGCCACAAAGATAAGTCTACCAGGGTAAATAGCTGCTTTCTCAAGAAGCCCTCTCATATTTTCTTCTAGATAATGATGTTTATTCATATATCCCAGAAAGACCACTTATCTAGTTGTTACTGGTATTTTTTTTTCAAATACCTATGATGGAAATTCCATTTGCTGTATCCTGAAACAACAAAATGAAAGAGGCTCTATAGAAGACAACACTTCTCCTAAATGCCACCTTGCTGCACCATAATTCAGTTAGTGTTACCAGTTAATTTAGAGTTCAGATATCTTAATAATACATTGAATTTACTGTTAAGATTTTGCTGTATTTTCCTACCTCCTTCATAGTAGTGTTGTGTAGAGTCGTCAAACGACCGGTCGTAGCTCTGTTCAGTATAGGATGACTGCTGATAGGCATAATCACCATGTCCTGCAAGGAGTCACAAAGATTTGTCAGATTCATTCTTAAT